CGGGCCTAAATTGAAGCCCATGTACTTATTTTTATGTCTACATTTAGGTTGAATTTTACGAACTGTATTTATTTTTGTAGCTATACACAATATATATTTCTATGTAAAAATTTGTCAGGCTTAAATTTGAGGTTCATGTACTTATTTTCGTGCCGTATTAAGATTGAATTTTTTATGTATTTATTTTTGTCGACTATATACCATATATATTTCTATATATATATATATATGTATATATTCAACAATGTATTGTTTTTTAAAATGTGATTTCCAATGTTTCATGGCATAAATCCTTATGAAAGGAAATCTGTGTAAGGAAATAATGAAATTGAAAGATGTTAAACTCTTATGGAAGAAATATTAGGCTCCATTTAATTTAAGGGGTTTAGATTAAATGTATTCTAAATGATTCAATTAAATTTATTAATTTTGTTTGGCAGTATAATGAATTTTAAATATCTATTATTGATTGTGAATTTCAAAGTAACTTTATTTATTATATTATGTCAAATACCTTCAAAATATTGGAAATAATCAAGTGAATTTAATTCAAATTCATTTTCGAATTCAAATCCATCAAATTAAATGGAGCATAAATTAATCACAAAAATACTAAAAATCTTTTTATTTTTTATTTTCTCTATTTTTCTTTAATACTCAATCATCAATTAAATGAAAATATTATTTTTATTATAAAATATCACAATTAAATATTATTAAATCAAAAATCAAGAATAATATATAAAAATATATTGTTTCGGTTATCGTACTGATTTGATCAAATCAATATGATACTCATTTAACTCCAATCAACAAATATCTATAAAGAAAGAAACAAATATTTATATTATATATAGCACATACACATTATATACAATTATATATAACAAAATATATTTTGATTTGAGCAAAATATATATTTTTTTCAGTATAATAGTAATTTAACTCCCCGCAGCCGCTACCCGAAAGCGCGCACTGGGTAAATCCCGGCCGGGCTTAATACCCTGTAAATCAGGCCCGACGGGAAAGTCAAACTAGGCGAACCATGTGTGGCAGGTGACCTGAGGCGTCGGGGTTTTGAACCTATGACCTCACAGTCACAAGTCCAACCCCTACACTAAGTATTTTAAGTTAATGTGTTGTGGTATATATTTTTTGACGAATTCTTAACTATTTCATGTTGATTTGTTAATTTTATCAAATCAGCACAGTGCTGATTTGACCTCGTCAACACCATAACTGCCGTTATATCATCAGATACTTCTCGATCTCAATCAAATGTATACATTTATTTTATTTGTTAGTAGGAAAATATAAATATATATATGATTTTTTAAGTAAAAAAAAAATATTTTATAAAAATTACAAGTATTTTGATTTGTATATAATTATTTTTACGATAATAAAAAATATACTCCCTCCGTCCCAAAAGTAAATATCAATTTATTTTTTGTACGTAATTTTAGAAATATTAATATTATATTGATATATAAGTATGAATAAAGTAAAAATGACTAAAATAACCTTATTAGTATGTGTGATATAAATATAATGACATTTGTGTAATATATTATAAATTGTAAGAGTATTTGTAATGTTAGGTAGATAGTACAGTTATTAAAAATAAATAAATACTTTGTTATGGAACGGATTAAAATGAAATAATAAATACTTTGTTATGGATAAGAAGGAATATATTTTTTTAGTGAACGAGACAAAAGAATAATAAAATGAATATATTGAATATAAAGAAATGAAGTACAAAAAATAAACTTATGCTACAGCGTTAATCATTAACGTGATAGTGATTAATTTAACTGAATTAATAACCCGCACAAATATTTATCATGTTAATTGAATCGACCTTAACATAGATTCATTGTACAAAATTTAATGAAAACTAATAAATCATATTATTAAAGTTAATAAAATAGATAAACGTATTATTCATCGAACACAAACATTGAAAATGTTTTATTTTTTATTTTTGTAAAGCTTGATTTGAGTTGATTCTTTTTTTAGTAAGAATTTTGATATACTCTCGTCATTCAAATCTATTATCACTTTTTTTTTTTGTTATCCAAATTTATTCCCATTTTCTTTTTTAGTAAAAAATACCTCACTTTTCTTTACCAAAAAAGTAAAAATTTCTATTTTTATCTATTTTTCTTAAAATTCGTGCCCGATCAAATGAGCACACAATTGGATGACGGAGGGAGTAATATTTTATCACACATATAATATAAGGTATTAGTCATTTTTGTTCCATCTTTTGTGTCCGGTTTATTATAGATATGAGAATTTAAGTAAAATATTAGTAAATAATTAAAAAGTGTATCAGTAAAAATAATAATTGTATAATAAAATTAATTATAAATTAATATTAAGATAACTAAATAGTATAATTATATTAAAAAAAATTATAAATTATGAAATTTTAAATGTGATTAAAATGTATAATTATATTATGAAAAATGAAATGACAAATAAAGTAAAATAAACATAAATAAAAATGGTGGAGGAAAAATGTGGATAAAAGAATGACTTGTGATTGCATATATTATTATTATTATTATTATTATTATTGTTGTTGTGTTTCTTAATTAAGCAATCTCTGCTTCTCACTTTGTCGTAAGTGATTTCTGTTTTCTATTCTAATTTTATTGTGAGTGAGTCTTATTTTTTATCGTGATTTTCTTGTAAGCGAGTTTTGTTTTTGACTTTAACTTCAATTAGTCATATTTTCAATTTTGATTTCTTTATGAGCGAATTTCATTTTTAATTCTAACTTCATCGACCATTGTGAGCAAATCATTTCAACTCCAACTCTTGTGACGTTGAGAGCTATGATTTTAATTCTAATTTAGTAGATAATTTTGATTACTTGACTTTAAGCTACATTTGGCAAACTAAAATTTGTTCGACTCTGCCTTGAATTTTGGAAAAGTGTTAAAATATATTTGAAAAAAAATATTTATACGTTATATTTATGGTATTTATCAAATTCAAAAGATTTGTATAATTTGAGTTATTTAGATGATTTATATGTTATTTTAAATATATATGAGTTCTTACTATTAAAATATAAAATTTCAATTATATATTCTAACGGTATTGAGATTAAAAAATATATAGGAATTACAATGAGTCGAGTATAGGTCAGGTTAGTTGAATTTGAGACCCGAATTGAATCGGATTATATCTAGACCCGACCACACTATGAATTTGACCCGAACTATATCTGACAAGATCCGATATACCTAAAAAACTTGTACAATTTATACATAACTTAAAATTGAACATAAATCCAACTTGACATATATTAAAATTTATGTATGTTATCAAAAATATTATAATAAAATACTCATTCCGTCCCATATAAAGGTAATGAATAAAATAAAAATAACTAAAATGACCTTATTAGTATTGTGTGATATAAAAGTAATGATATTTGCGTACTATATTGGAAGTTGTAAAGGTATTTGTAATATTAGGTAGATAATACATTTACTAAAAAAAAAATAGATACTTTGTTATGAGACCGACAAAAATGGAAAAATTGATACTTTGTTATGAGACCGACAAAAATGGAAAAATTGATACTTTGTTATGAGACGGAGGGAGTAATAGAAAATAAATTAAACTAGAAAATATTTTTAATATAATGTATATTGTTAGGAATAATTTTTTTTTTTAATCATATACCTATGGACTCGAACTCGAGACCTATAACCCTGATACCATGTTAGATTATCGAAATGACCGCTCACCTGAAAGCTTAAACCAGTAGAGATACGCGCCATTAATTATTTTTCTAACAAACGGGAGTCCCCAACAAAGATATGTTGTGAAGATTAGAAAATTATATTGTATTGATCATCAAATAAAAAGGTTATATATATAAGCAACATAAAACAAACTCGATATACTCAAATATAAATAATCTAATATATGCGTAACAACAAATATAATCTAAATCTACTAAATTTAAATCAGAATATCTAAAATATGTTAACATTCCTTCAAACTCAAGTGGTATAATAGAAACCAAATTGAGTTTGCAAGGAGAGATCGAAGATGACGTAGACATAGTCATCTATCATGCCAGAGTCAAAAGCAGTGTCCTCAATAAAATTAGAATCGAAAATAAGGAATTCTCACAAGAACTGAAAAACACATAATTAAAAAACACGAAACTCTCACAAAGAGTTGGAAAATATGGATACAGGACTCTCACCTGAGCCGAAAAAATACGGAACTGGAAAATGCTAAAACTCTCACCAGAGCCAAAAAAACCCGAAACTAGAAAACGACGAGACTCTCACCGAAGTCGGAAACATGGAGCACTCACTGGAGCAAAAAAATACGGAACTCGCACCGGAGTTGGAAAACAACAGGACTCTTAACGCAATTGGAAGCAACGCTTTGTACTGAACCATAACAAACGATCAAAGGTCGAACTCGGACGCAAAATTAAAAATAAACTTGACGGACGACTAATTGCATATAGATATCAAAATCGAAAGACTTCCGTTGACACAATAAAATCATAAATAAATATCTCAAAATTGGAGACCTCCGAGGGACATTCCAGGTGGAATGTACCAGAGAAACACGTGTTATTATATTGTATGTACTAAAGAAGTGTAGACTCTAATAACATATTAGAATTTGAGAGAAAACTATAATATACTAATCAAATTTATATTTTGACAAAATCCAGCCTACATTAAACACAATAAAAATTATACAATACTCAATTTATATCAAGTTTGATATCGAATAATTAGACTCAATCCCAAATAAATAGATTGATTTCGGATAGAATACCGAATCTACCCGAAACCATTGTCATCCTTAAAAAAAAAAAAAAAAAAAAAAAAAGACAAACCATTTCCATTGATATAGAATACAAGGAGGAATGAAGAGCAAAAGGCGGGAGATTGTGTAAATTCAAATCCCTATTATAATAATTAAATTCTGTTAGCCGACACGAAATACAGCGACACGCGTATGCGGAGGATTGCAAGAGTCACTCACTCACTCCCAATATCACCTCCACCTCTGTCTTCTCACTTCCTCCTACCAATTCCTCCTAACCCTACTTTGCTTCCGCCCCTCTGCCCTTCTTCGATCTCTTCTCCCATGGCGATTATCTCTTCTCAGGTCGCTGCCGCTCAATCTGGCTCCGCTTCCCCCTCCGCTACTGTTGCAGTAGCTTCAGCACGGAGAAGCAGCGCCCGGATTAAAAAGATTAATGAGCAGATGCAAACCAGCGTCGAAACTGCTCGGAAGAAGAGGGAAGCTAATCCCAGCTCAAAGAAACCGAAGAATCAGAAGAAAAAAGCTAAGCCGGAATCGCCGCAAAAAAAGCAGCCGGAAGAACAGCCGGAGGAGGTGCCGGTTCTTCCGGAGGTGGTGCCGCGCACAAATATGAATCCCCATGCAATGGTGACGGATACCATTAGGACCTTCAATAAGTTTTACTTGCATTTTGTTCAGGTATCTTGCTCAGCCTTATTCCTCTCTATTTTCTTTAGTTTATTGGTTGCTTTGTGGACATTGATTTTTTATCAAGTAAATATGCATCTTGTGTTTGGAAAATCAATGGTGCAAGCATTTATTGTGGTGTATTGTAGGCGGAGCAGAAGAGATGTGCTCAGGACCGAGCTCAGGCAGCAAACGTGAATTTGAATTCCAAGGTTTTAAGATATTCTATTCAATTTTCGTTTAATGTGAAATTCTCTGTATTCCTGCAGTTTACCATTGGTCTGCAGCCTTTTGTTTGTTTGTAATCTGTGCTGTTTCTGCAATGCAACCACTTCATTTAATCTCAAGGGCCCAATGTTGTCGATATCAATGGCAAATTTGGGATAGTTGCCCTTGTTTTTTCTGCCTTGTTTTCTTGGAGCTGATTTCTGACTTTTTTAAGTTTAACTGTGTGCAGGGTGATGTCAAAAGGACTTCTAAGCGACCTGATCTGAAGGCTATCTCTGAGGCATGTCAATTGTGTATATAATGAAGCATTTTTTAGGGGTTTTTGTTTAACCATATGCTAATGAATGTGACTAGCTGATCTCAAGAATCAAAGAAAATATTGGGTTTGTGTAGATAAATGCTTTTAAAGTTTTTTTTTTTTAAAAAAATTGAGAATAAAAAAATTTAGGATGTGATGGGATGTTTTGTAAGAGGAAATATTTATTTGATTGGATGCTTCCGAACAGAATTGTTGTTGATAAATAATACCAAAAACTTCAAGAAGTGGTTTCTCCAAGTGATCAATCTTACTTATTGATTATTGAATACATCACTTCATCAATCTTCTCACAAAATACTTTTGGTGTGTTAAAAGAATTTGAGAATAAAAAAATTTAGGATGTGATGTTATGTTTTGTGAGAGGAAATAATTATTTTATTGGATGCTTCTGAACAAAATTGCTGCTTATAAATAATACCAAAACTTCAATAAGTGATTTCTCTAAGTGATAAATCTTACTTATTGGTTATTGAATACATCACTTGATCAATCTTCTCACAAATACTCTTGGAGTTTTACAAGAATTTGAGATTAAAAAAAACAATTAGGATTTGATGTTATAGTTTGTGAGAGGAAATAATAATTTGATTGGATGCTTCTGAATTTTTTTTTGTTGCTTGTAAATAATACCAAAACTTCAATAAGTGATTTCTCTTAAGTGATAAATCTTACTTATTGGTTATTGAATACATCACTTGATCAATCTTCTCACAAATACCCTTGGTGTTTTAAAAGAATTTGAGATTAAAAAAATAATTAGGATTTGATGTTATGGTTTGTGGGGAAATAATAATTTGATTGGATGCTTCTGAAATTTTTTTTTGCTGCTTATAAATAATACCAAAACTTCAATAAGTGAGTTTTCTAAGTGATAAATCTTATTGATTTTTGAATACATCACTTGATCAATCTTTTCACAAATACTCGTGGAGTTTTAAAAGAATTTGAGAATAAAAAATAACAATTAGGATTTGATGTTATGTTTTGTGAGAGCAAATAATTATTTGATTGGATGCTTCTGAATTTTTTTTTTGCTGTCCGATAAATAATACCAAAACTTGAAGAAGTGTCTATGTAAACATAGCTATTGTTTTTATTTTATTTTTATTTTTTCTTCTGTCTGTTTGGTTTCTCTAAGGACCAATTTTTACTTATTGATTAATGAATACATCACTTAAAGGAGAATGCTAATCTAATTGATTGCGCCTCAAATGTGTAAGAACTCACCATGTAATTGGGGGGTTATCAATTGGAACAAGAATTGGAAAATTTTGACATGTGCTTTAATGTATCTTCTAATGCCTAATTATCTGTGCCATTTGATGAATGATAGAAAAAGGAATATTTGGATTTTCTACTTAAATTTTTCCAAATTCAACTCTCCCTCTCTCTTGTTGCTGTTATTGCTTTGCTTTTGTTTTTTGTTTTTTTCTCTTTCATTAACATCTAATCATGCTTGCTTTACTTGTTGAAATGGCAGATGAAGAGACTCAATGTTACATTGTACCCTGAGAAAAGAATTGGCCCTATTCCAGGTTTGTATATATGCTTTATTTCGTTCTATTTAGATCATCTTCAAAATAATATTCAAAGGGGTCATTATAGATTAAAGATATAACAACCATGTGTTATTATCTGAATCTTTTTACTAGAATTTGTTGATATCCATTGACATCCCTATACTTCTTGTTCCTTATTTTTCTAAATGTTAAGCAGTTGATAGCTTGGAATTGCATCATGTAGTGTGAATTGAGTTGGTATGTTTTGAGTTGAGAAACATTAGATAAAGCATAAAAATTGTAAATTTTCAAGGAGGCTCAAAAGAGTATGAAACGTGGCCATCACACGTTCATGAATCTTTCAAGCTCTGTAATATTGAGATTGTAGTTTCTCAATCTCCCTTTCAAAATATGTTTTCAGTCTGGATTGGGTTCGGAGGTTTGGATTTTTTTGATTTAAATAATATTTGATGTGATGATTTTTAGAGGAAAAAATGTGTGTATATATGTATATATAAAAATGTGTGTAGATATATATATATATATTTGGAATTCAAATAGTAAAAAACTTGATAAAAAACGAAAAGAAAAAACAAAACTTTGGAATTTTGGCCTTCAGAATGCCACACAACCACTAGCCACAATGATTTGCATACCTAATTAGATTTCATCCACACTCAAGCAATTGAACTTGCCAATAAGTTTGTTTGTTGCTGGTGCAATTAAGGTATTGCCATGCAATTTGTAAAAGAAAGTAAGAAATAATCACCAAACTGCAAAACAAATTCAATCATTATACTGAAAGTGACTATGAGAATACCCACTTTCAATCATAACTGTGCAAAGTGTACACAACTGATGATGATTTTGGTTCAAGCCATGAATAACTAAATCTTCGTCCTAAATATTTATTTTCAAGAATACCTTCATGCTAAACCATGTAAGGCTTCTTTTTTAAGCTTGACATGTAGTAATCTTATTTTTGCACTTAAGTGTTTTAACTCTAGATGAAATAGAGGAAGTGTGGCAAAGAATTTATGGATAATTTCATTAAAAATTCACTTTTATATTGTCTAAATCCTATCACAAGGCTTGCATCATGGGTCTTCAACTCTAACAATCATTTCTAGACATGATATATCTGCCCATGGACAACTTTTTAAAGCCCTGAGTCTGATATTTTGAAGGTTCTTTCTTCACTGATACCTTTCATTAGCTACAAGTTTACACTTTAAATAACTTGAAAATTTGTTCAACTCCTGCAATATACCTCAATCACTCATGCAATAGTCAATGGAACTGCTTGAATGATATCCTTAGTGTATTGTATAGATGGCCTAATCACTTTGACGAGGTTCGTCAATGTCTTCACACTCATTAAATAGCTTCAACAACTCTGGAAGGCTCACCATACACCTCAAATCTCTCATGCAACAGTCAATGCGAATGTTCTAATGATGCCCCTAGTGTACTGTATAGGACTAAATCTCTTTGTGGGGTTTACCAATGCCAATAGATAGATCTCCATACTTAAAACCAAAAGATAGAGCCGTGGAATAGTTAAAAGATTATGCTGTAGCTGTTGCTCCTAAACTGGCAGATGTCTTATGCCTAGCAAGTACATGAGAAACACAAAATGCCTCAACTTCCAATCAATGTCCAACTTCATGGGATCTCTTGGTTTTTTTCTCCACTAATACTTCACTTTTAAACTGTGTAAAGTGCTTTATCCTTTCTACGGAGGAAATAGATTCATATTTTTTTGTGAACAATCATCAATAAGGGTCATAAAGTACTGTTTTTGAAGGATAAATTTTGTCCTAGAGAACCTATAAGAATCATAATGAACACAACTCAAAATAGTCCAAAGATGTATGCCCCACAACCTGTAATCTCCAACGCTAATAATACCAAGCAAGCCACACTTGTGATTTTCATTTTCTTTTCATTCTTATCATGGAGATATTTGTGCCACAATTTGATAGTGTCTAAGCATATCTTGTTTGCTGGTATAATGGTAAGAGCCTGTAGATGGGTTCAAATATAAACATCCAATATTACACCAACACCCACTAAACTTCCAATAGTGCCAAAATAGCCCAACCACTATCCAATGCACTTAAAGAATGTGATTTCTAGAAGATCTTAGGACATTAAATTTGGACAAGTGCCTTGATATGCCCATAATGCACTATACTTTGATATACTGCATAGTTTTTGATTGAAGGTGGATTCTCAAAAGAGTTGGATTAAATGATTGAGATAATGTATGTAAAGATCCATGTCTGCTTACTTCCAAGGGCATTGGCCCAACCTTGGGTGAAGGTTGCTATTGGTACAAAGCTAGAAAGGTGTGAACTAGCTAGTTGGGAGTGACATTACTCTGTGTAGGATTAACACAATTGTTAGCAATAATTTTTGGGGGAAGCCCCTCATATTTAAATCCAGAATGAACTGAATTGTGCTTCCATATTGTGGGTCCTCTTCTATTTTTCAGTAGGTTCATGTTCCATTACACTACTATATCATATTCTAAAATAAATGCCAGAATAGTTTACAATCAATTCGAGACTTGAAAACTAAAAAGTTTCATAGCTGGTTCCTCATCAATTTCTTGTTGATAGAAGAGGCCAAAATTGATTGAGCATTGAATGCTGAGAATGTGTGGGCTTTCGTTGAAAATGATTGGAGTTGTCCTATTGAAACTATTGAAGGAGAGGAAATCAAGTGGAGAAGTGAGTGGACTAGAGAAGAGAATGTTGCAGCTCAAGCAAACACACATGCTATGAATTCTATATTTTGTAGGCTAGATGACTCAATATAAGCCAATTTCTAACCATGAAGTTGGTTGAGTAGTATAGATCTTTCTAGAACATGTTCATGACGAAACATCCTGAATAAAATCCAACAAGTGACTATGATCTCAATATGAGATGTTAAGAATGAAGAATAGACCATTGGTGAATTCCATAACGTAGTACAAATCTTATTAACAAAGCCTACATGTTTGGGAAAGTTTGCATGAATGTAGTACTTGAGAGGAAAGTGCTACGACCCCTATACCCATTTCAGATTCTATGTAGATCTAACAAGAAGTGAGAATGAGATATATCACTTACCATGGATGTGAAGGTTAGGGGGCATAAGGTTTGAATTTGCCAACACTCTCAAGAAGGAAGAAAATTCCCTCAACAATTTCAGTACCAACTAGAGATGAAGATAACAACACATACAATGAATGAAAATTATGATGAAGTTGCTGACATGGTTGCTGTAAATGCGTTGGACAAAGAAAATGGTGATCTGAATCACACAATATATAGCAATGAAGATGAAAATAATGGAGTTGAGATGACCATACCTGATATACCTGAAGCTGACTTTGAGCTATGTGAAAGCTACAAAGTTATAGAAAGCTGCGGCAAGACAGGGGAAGGAAGTGAGATAAGTAGAAGTAGACTATTGGGATTTTTAAAAAATGAATGAGAATGAATGCTATTAAAGTTCTCAAATTTAAAGAGGTGATGAAATCATGGCAAAAATAATGCAAACCATGTAATTATGAAAAACTGAAGAAGGGTTAAAAGATGAAGTAGTAGATTTTCTAACAAAAAAGATTCGAACCTTTAAGCATCTCAACATAGTTAAGCTAAATTAGATGAAACTTTATTTCATCCTTAGAAAATTTATGATAAAAAAATTGGGTTTGACATACAGGCCAGAATTGGTGTTCAGTACTAAAATAGACTAAAATTTGTGGGAAAGGAGACTTCTACAATGTACAAATAGAAACGTAAGTTCGAAATAGCTAAACATCAGTCAATCTTTCACAAAAATTATTAAAATCAAGGTTGTAATAATAGATCTGTTGAAGAAGTTGGTTCTATTTATAAAAATTGAAACTTCATAAATGATGGAATAAAATATGTAAAGTCTAATTAGGGATGGTTCTTCTTATATCGTATATTTGTATAAAAAAAATTTACCACTTACAGTGTATATTTTTTTGGTATATCCCGCGTAAACGATTTCGTTTACTGAGTCCAGGAGTCTAGGTAGAGCCATAGAAATCTTACCACTTACCGTGTATATTTTTTTGGTATATCCAGCGTAAACGATTTCGTTTACTGAGTCCAGGAGTCTAGGTAGAGCCATAGCGACTTGGATGAATACAAAATAATTTAAATATTTATGATATAGGGTTTATAATTTTTGAGGAGAAAGCTAGAGAAAGGTGAATAAAAAAAATTGAGATCTAGGGTTTTTAAAGTTTGAGAAAAAAGAGAGAGCCGCAAATACAAAAGAATTTCAATATTTACTGGAACTTTGAATACTAAAGAATTTGAGATCTAGAGTTTTTAACTTTTGAGAAGAAAGGAAGAGCCATGACAGAGCCGCGAATACAAAAGAATTTCACGGTCCAGGGTTTTTAACGTTGAGAAAACAAGAGAGTCTGGATAAGAAAGAAGAAAGAGGGAGTTTGGATACGAAAGAATTTAGTATTTACTATCTAGGGTTTTTAACGTTTGAGAAGAACAAGAGAGTCTGGATATGAAAGAAAAAGGAGAGAGTTTGGATACGAAAGAATTTCAGTATTTACGGTTTAGGGTTTTTAACGTTTGAGAAGAAAAAGTGAGCGCCGTAAATTTATATTTTTTTAGAAAGAAAGCGAAAAGACGGACTAGCTTAATAGAATTAATTTAAAATTTATAACTTTTGAAAAAAAAAAAAACGAAATAGAATGAATTTAAGTGAATAAAAATGTCTAATATTTAATTTATAGTTATATTAGAATAATAATATCAAAATTATTAATATATTATTATAAATATATAAATTAATTATTTAATAAAATATATAAAATATTTAAGGATTGTATAATTTCATTGGAACCAATTTATTGATACTTTCACAACAATTTATAAGATACATAGAATTTGAAAATTATATATTTTTATAATATTGAATTTTTTTATATGATTAAGTCTATCTTTTCTTAAAAAAAAAATGAATTTACAAATATCTTTATTGTACCCGATAACATATACAAAATATTTGAAAATCACGTATATTTCTATCCCCATCAAAATTTTATCCATAGCTAAGTCTAATGTTAAAAAAAGAGCCGCTAGCCAACACCTTTGTTGTAGGTAATAAGATATGCAAAATATTTAAAAATTATATATTTCTTTCCCTATCAAAATTTTATAGCTTTAGTCTAATGTTTGAAAAAGAAACCTACTTACCATTATCTTTCGTTGTAGCTACAATATTTTAGTACTTGAGGATGAATTTTGGTTACCATTATCTTTCGTTGTAGCTACAATATTTTAGTACTTGAGAATGAATTTTGGCTTGTACATTGCCTCAAACAGACAGTTGTTTTTCTGAATATATATATATATATATATTTACGAAAATAAACTAAAGAAACAGAGCAATATATAAAACCCTCTCCTCTACTCTTCTAAACCCGTTCATGGATAAAGTGCTTCACCTGAATAAACAATGGTACTCTCAAGATCATCTGTTGGCCAAGAAAACATTGTGGATCCAAGTGAAATTTTGCCTACTGAGTTGATTCAAACTGTCCCTCCACAAGGCTCGGGTGCTCGTAGTGGTCCGGTAGAACGGTTTTTTAGTTGAATCTGTCGTTGATGATGTCTTATGGGTACACGGACTTGAGCCAACGGGTGTCCCAGAACTGGGAGCTGATGGTGTTTTCTTTTTAGGGGAAGTTCTTTTTTGATCTTGCTTGCTCTTCGGCGCATGTGGCTGCTTACGTGCCCTTATACTGTTTGCTACTGGCAAGTTTCCAATTTGGGGGAATCTGTCATTTGTTTGTGATTGTTGCTATATGTTTTGGCTTTGATTATGATTTTGTTTCTGCCTCTTGCCACACAGCCGGATCTTGATATTTTCAGGCTATTTTTGTTTTGTTTTTTTTTTCCCCAACAAAATTTATTTATTTATTTGAGTTTTTATATTGGTGCTGCTGATTCTTGGTTGGTATGTTGCTCGGGGTGACTATAATGATGCCAATGACAGATATGAGAATGTGAGAATGGTGTGTGCGTGGTTGGTTGTTGCTGTAGTGAATTGGAAGAATTATGAGTCAACTAGGGATAGGGCTGTTATTGTGGTTGCTTTTGAGCAATTTTTTTTTCTTGTTTTGTGCGTTTAGGCTAGGACTGTTATTCGAGTTGACTCCTGCTGGATATCTTATTTTTGAATTTGGATTGAGCCTCTCATACCTGCTTACTTACTAGACTGCTTTTCGTTGTTCTAGTGTGATGTATATAGCAAATTAGATTGGATTATTTTAAGATTGAGCTTAATTTAAATTAGGATGTGAGTTAATTATCAAATTAGAATTATTTTACTTATATAATAAACTTATTAATAATACTAATATATTATAATCGGGTCGGGTTCAATTTGAATTTGAGGGCATCAATCCTAATCCAACATGTTTATTATAGTGTTGAGTTCGTGTCGTGTCGGGTTAGTTTTTTCCAGCTTTACTTATCTATAATATTTAAATATATAATAGAACATAAGGAAATAAAAATTTATTACCTGCTGAAGCTTCATAACTGTGTGACCTATGGAAAATTTCTTCATGTATTGCATCATGTAACCTTGAGGAATTTTGGTTATGGCAGGTATTGATGTTGGCCATCAGTTCTTTTCACGGGCTGAGATGGTTGTGGTGGGCTTCCACCAACACTGGCTAAATGGGATTGATTACATAGGGAAAAGTGGTAACAAAGCTGGACCAGAAATCGTAAGTTGGGAATTCCAAACATTACCTGTTTTGTACCCATGCTCGCTCCTCTTTAGTTGACAGAAATTTGATAGATTAATATGTTCATAATAACTTGGCATGAATTTCATGCAACTTATATTTACACTTATTATGGTTGTGTTGTTTGGCATGAGTATGGATGTACTTATATGAAGGTCTAGATAATGCCTGTTCCCGTGCGATGCTATTATGTTTTGTGCTGTCACTTATGTGAAATTTAATGATTTCTTATTTCCCCCTTTATGTGTATTATCTCTCCTGTTTGACCGTGTTAAATAATAGATCACCACTATGAGAACTCTTCTTGTTAGTGTCCTAAAACTTCAGGGGTTTGTTTGGCTTTGGGTTGAGTTTGATTTTTAGTTAAAATTGATTTCTAATGTGATGTTTTGTAAGAGGAAATAGTTTATTTTTGTTGGGGGTTTTCTTGAACCTTAAGCCTCAAATGCTGATGTGATGTTTTGGTTTAAACAAGCTCCAATATTGTTGGTTTTCTTGCAGTCTGAATTTTGCTTGTGCACCATACCCATTGATTTCATTTTTTTTTTTCTATTATGGTGTTTGCAGGACTTGAAAGGATACAAGCTACCAATTACAACATCAATTGTTTTATCTGGACAGTATGAGGATAATTTAGACAATTTGGATAGAATTGTGTACACAGGCCAAGGGGGAAACGACTTGCTTGGTAATAAGCGTCAGATTAAAGATCAAGTGCTAGAGCGAGGAAACTTGGGGCTGCAGGCATGTTTCAAGCTTTTGATTACCATTCACCTTTATCTTTGACCTCATGATTGCATGTGGGGAAAAAAAACATAATTTTAAGTATGCAATAAACTAATAACTAACAAACATATGTAATTTTAAGTTTGAGGCTTACTATTTCTACAGTTGTGAGCGATACGATTGCTTTCAGAAGGGATGCTATCCCTTTTCTTTTTTTTTTTTTTTTTTTTTGTTGTTTCTTGTTTCCTGATCATTTTAAATCATATAACCCTTGAACCTTTGACCATCTCAGTCAGTTAGATTATATTTTTAACTTTACAACTCAATTGTGCTGTGTTAATATTTTGGTGCATTGTTGATTTTATTCTTTGCTTGATTGGTGATTAGATTTTCTATCATCGTTTCTTGTTGTAGTTTTTTCCCTTGCATTTTGTTTAAGAATGATTTGTTAATCTCAAGCATAATTTTCATTCCTAGTGTTGTGGAATCATTTGCTCCGTGGCCTTATTTTTTTCGAGCCATATTATATTAGAGCTAGGTTTGCTGGATGATCTGTTCATCTTTAGGGTATGCATTTAGAAATTATGTAAGTATATGGCCTAACCAAGGACATTGTGTTTTCTGCAGAACTGTAAGGATCAATCTGTGCCAGTTAGAGTGATACGCGGTCATGATTGTCAAAGCAGCTATGTGGGGAAAGTGTACACATATGATGGATTGTATGAGGTAATTCATATTGTTTTGATACATGTTGGTTGGTGCTGTTCAAGTTCTTATGTATGGAGTGCCTACTTGATTTTTTCAGGTTATCGATTGCTGGACCGCCAATGGTCAATCTGGTCACACAGTTTACAAGTTTCTTCTGGAAAGACTTAGGGGGCAGCCACCATTAACAACAGATCAAGTAAGTTTTACATAGCTTATGTCTTCGTAAGTGTTAGCCAAAATATAATGGTTGTGTGGTTTAACCGATGATCTTTTCGTATTTTTGTACTTTTCACGCCTAAATTTTATGATCCACAACACATAATATTTTGAAGACTCTACTTTAATGCTTCAGAAAACTGCATGTGTTTGTGAAAGAAGGTTTGGTGAATCACACTTTTTACACACATGCGTGAATGTATTATGACACCTTCCTATGTAAAGCATTTCCCTTCCAACATTGCAGGTTCATTTTACTCGTGGGCGTATACCAAATTTAACATCTGAGATAAGAGGGTAGGTATCTCAATCTTATACATTGTTGTTGCTATTGCGTCTACTCTATCAACATTTTTTGGTTTTCTATTTCTAAATTGATTTTTGTTTTCTTATTTAAAGGTTAGTATGTCGTGATATCAGTGGAGGTTTGGAAGACATTCCCATCCCTGTTACAAATTTGGTTGATGATCCACCCGTAGGTCCATCAGGCAAGTGGAAATTAAATTTTCTTATCGAGCAGTTCTCATTGAAGTTTACATGTTGATATTTGTCAGCTCTTTAATTTATTTTTCCCGGGTTAATATTTGAAAGATATCATAAGCATGTATCCAATCTACTTGTTATAATAATCATAGTTGTCAATAGTGCGGTATAACGCGTTAATAGTGGTGTAGCACAATGGAGCCAGTCTACCACTACCACCATTCTGTGATGTTGCTTTTACACGATAGCTGCATAATGGCTTTTAGTGGTGCAGAGCATAGTGGAGTGCCTTTTTAATTGAATACTATACTATAATCTTTATTATAAATAGGTTTAAATTTTACAATATATATTGAGTTTTTTGGGTTTTGATTTGAGTTTAGCGTTTTGATTTAAATAGTATTTTAATGTGGTGTTTTGTGAGAGGAAATATATACTCCTTCCGTCCCATGACAAAGTATCCATTTGCATTTTGCGTCATTGTACTTAACATTAAAAATATCTTTATATTTGTATAATTTTTTATACAAATGTCATTATATTAGTATTATAAGACACCAATAGAAGTATTTTTGTCATTTTATCTTTATTTGTAATACGATTTGATATAATAATTAATATTCAAAGATCAACACGCAAAAAGTAAATTGACACCTTATTATGGGACGGAGGGAGTAGTATTTTTATTGAAACTGTGTGGGTTAAATATTGTTGATTTGGGTTTGAAACCCAAACTAGACACACTCATTACATTTGTTATTTGATAAATATAAATTTTATACTATTATATAATAGTGTACTATAACTACTTTTCTAAAAAGAGAAAGAGCATTGTGCAATGCTTTGAGCATACAATGAGAAAAATAAATAAAAATGATGAAGAAAAAGAATATTCATACAAGAGGAGTCATGATGATGAAAATAAGTTAGGAAATTATTTATCAAATTTTGAACTTGATTAATTTTGATTATTGATCTATCTAAGTAGTTGTGATCTAATTGTTTTGTTAATATAACTATTTATAAACTATGATTATATATATATTTTTGTTATTTTATTGGTTTGAATGATAATAATTAGATTAATTAGTAGATTTTTCTTATGTATTTTTATTGTACATTTGTATATATACTAATTTTTATGTGTATTCTTAAATTTTTAAATAGCAGTCACTGTGGCTAGTTTGCTATAGCATTTTAGAGGTTGTTTTCGGTGTAATGTTATCTCAGATTGACAACTGTGATAATAATTGAATGTAGGATAATCATTTAGAATTGTTTTGGAATTTAAAAAAGAGGTACAAATTAATCTTCTCAAAGTTAATTACTGCTCAAATTAAGGCCTATTGTTGTTACTTTGTAAGGATGGCTTAGATACTAAGAGTAGTTGCGGCAAAGTAGTTGATATCTATATTTATATGTAGGTTTGCATGCATGGATATTTACTTATTCACTGTTCTTATAACTTATAGATAATTTTACGTTATTATTTTTTCACATTATTCTATAATCTACTATTTTTCTGCAAAATTTAGGTTTTACATACTTGAAAGATCTTAAATATGGTAAGAATATACACGTCCCTATAAATGCTCCAGAGGGATGCAATTGTGTAGAAGATTGTTCGAATTCTAAGAACTGTGCGTGTGCAATATTCAATGGAGGTGATCTCCCATACGTGCGCCATAAGGGTGGAAGGTGAAGTACATGTTAAAAGTTCCCTATGTCCTTTTTTTTGTACTCTATAAACTTGTTGAAATACTGGTAGTTCTTTTAAGTGTACCATATTCTCTTCGTTTGATATAAATGAGTAAATGCACGAGATCAGTTCATATTCTTTATCACGTTAACATAGAGCAATTAGCATACGGTACTATCTGTAAGTGTAATTGCATGCTCAAACTTATTGATAGGAGAAAACAAGTGTGAATGTTCAACTCGAGATAAACGAAAAAAGGAATGGCATGTTTAACAAACAGTAAAAAATTTCATTTGTTAGAGATCCTCAATACTAATGTATCACTTCAAATTAGAACAGTAGATCACTTTTTATTTCTCCATTCTAGGTCTGTATTGTGTTTTTAACAAGATAAGTTAGGATCATATGTTATTGTTATCCATGTTGACGATTTACATAAATTTGTGGTGTATGTCAGTCACTGTTTCCGCATTTGCTAAATGAGTTTAACTTTAGTTGGCTTAACACAATCAGATAGCAGTAGCTTGCATTCCAAATTGATGTTTCATAATTGATAGTTGAGATTACAAAACAAAAGTTATTTTTTTCTCGCTTATGTTTGGTTATATATTCTTTTGCTAACCATTAACCAGAAATAAAAAGTTCCTATATAGCAGTTTTCATTCACTCCATTTCTCAGGCTAGTTGAACCAAAGACAGTAATCTTCGAATGTGGTCCAAATTGTAAATGCGGCCCTAACTGTGTCAACAAAACCTCTCAAAACGGGCCAAAGTATCGATTAGAGGTTAGTACACACAATAACGTGTTTCCATTCATCTTTTTACTAAGTTCATTAAACTTGCACGGGTTTTGTGACAGGTATTCCGTACTCCAAATAAGGGATGGGGCGTTCGTTCTTGGGATTGCATCCCTTCGGGTGCACCTGTGTGCGAATATATCGGTCTTGTCAAGAGAACTAATGAACTAGACCCTGCTGCTGATAACACCTATGTTTTCGACATTGACTGCTTGCAGACCATGAAAGGATTAGACGGGAGAGAGGTGTGCATATTTTAATTTGGCTAGAATGATAATCTTTATTGTCGCTCGCAGCTGTTTCTCTTTCCCATCTTATCTTGTTCACTTTTTGTCCTCAGAGTCGGTACCGGGAAGTGCCCCTGCCATCCCACCTGGAAGATGCTGGCCAAAACATTACAGAAGACGTGCCGTTCTGCATAGATGGCGAGCTTAATGGTAATGTTTCCAGGTTCATCAATCATAGCTGCCAACCGAATCTGTTTGTCCAGTGCGTCCTCAGCAATCATCATGACATGAAACTTGCAAGGATTGTATTAGTCGCGGCTGATAATATCGCACCATTGAAGGTAAAACATTTTTGATATATCCCTCCCTACCTTAGAACAACAATGCTTCTATGTTTGGTTGAGCAAGTAACTATTGGCTGGCTGTGCCCGTTTGCGCGCTTCTGCAGGAACTGTCATATGACTATGGGTATGCGATCGATAGCGTTGTTGGTCCCGATGGGCAAATGAGGCGGATGAACTGTTACTGCGGCGCGCAAGACTGCCGAAAGCGACTCTACTAGAGTTGATGTGTTGTAGCAACAAGTAAGTATTTATGCACTTTTGAATTTAGAGTTGTAGACGAGCTGAATTGAGTCGAGCTTTTCGTATTTGAGGTCGGGTCGTTTAGCAAATTTTTTTTTTTTTTTTTTTTTTTTTGGTTTTAGAGCTCTACTTTTGATGATATGAATATTAATAATTGCTGGCTTGATTATTTTCAGATTTTCCGGCAACTAAGTGTTGTGTGAAAGTGAAGCTGTAAAGCCTGCCTGCTGCCTGCCTTAGTATCATTTTTCTTTTTTCCGAGCAAACCCAAAAAGAAAAAAAAGAAAAGAAAAAAAAAGGTCAGGCTGACTGGTCACTTTTGAATTTGTCAAAGTGCATGTTGTGATTTTTGGTGGAAAAATTTGCATGAACATGTTATTGTATTTGGACCTCTATCATCTGATGCTCTATGCTGCTTTGTACAATAATGAACCTAATCCAAAAACTACATTAGGGAAGTTGGAATCTTCGCTTTTATTTATTTTTTATTTTATTTTATTAATATTGGTCATGAGATAATCAGGTCATTATACGTAGGGTGTGTTATAGTGATTCGAGTAGTTAATTGTTGTTAGTTGTTAAATGATTTGATTAGCTGTTAGCTTATTCGATTAGTTGGTTTGAGTAGTTGATTCGATTACCTGTTTGTATTAGAGTGGTTGGTAAAATAACGGTTACATTTTACATTTTATTTTCAGAATATTTAGTTTAGTTTTTTCAACAGGTAGATGTTTTTATAAGTTTATTATTAATTTTAAATATTAGAAAAATTTTAGTAAGATATTTGTTTTTATTATTTTATAAATATTTTGTAAAGAATTAATGCAAACTTATTGAAAAATATATTATATTTTTTTCATTAGAAATAGTATAAATATAAAAGAACAAAAATTATTATTATATGTATTTTTATTAGATTAATTTTTAATTAATATATATTTACATTAAATTTATAATTTTAAATAAATATATTCATTTTTAATAAAAATACTATGTGATAAAAAATGCTATATAATTAATTCAATAATATTAATATTTTTATATTATTTTTATTCTAAAAAATTTTAAAAATTATAAATGAGATAATTGATACATAAAAAATTAATTATTTTAAATTTATAAATATGAATTTATAAGTTATTAGAAAAAAATACATCCAAACAATTAATAAATAGTGTAATAAAAAAATATATTAATATATGTAAAAGAAATTAATTATACTAGCTTTTTCAAAATTAATTTTTTGGAGCAATAAATTATTTGAAAACTTTAATTTACCAAATACCAAAATTAGCTAAAAGCTCTTTAATAAGCTAAAAGCTCTTGAAAAAACGGTTTACCAACACCCTCTTAATCATCGAAATAGTTATGTACTTGGATGAGTTTCCTTTTTGTTGTGTATTTTATGGGTCTGTTTTTTATTTATTTTAGTTTGGTTTGGGAAATTTTGATTTGAAATTTTATTTTTATGATAATATTTCTTAAGAAAAAAAATATTTTTTTTGGGAAAGAAAATTTTGTTAAAGAAATAGTTGTGGAATGTAGGGTGTTGTGTTTTTTTTTTATAGTGGATTTGAGGAAATTTGATTTGAATTAAAATTAAATTTGAATTAGTAGGTTTGATTTGAATTTTGGGGGATTTTGGATATGTATTGGTTTTGGTTTGATAGGGAATAATTGTTGGTGTAAAAGTGAAATATAAGATTGAATTGTTTTTATAAATCTAATATTTTTTTTAAATTTTATATAAAATGTTCATTTTTTTTTATTTTTGTACGTTCAACATAATGTTATTTTTTTAAATAAAAAAATCATTATACACTTTATTTGAATTTTATAATTTAGAATTTTTTTTAATAATAATTAAACTATTTAGTTATTTTATGAAATAAAAAGTGGGTATGTATGAATTTATTCAATTTGATTAAAACTTTATTATTTGCATTTTATGTTTTTTTGAATATATATTTTTATAAATTTTATTAAATATTATTTAGATATATAATTTAAAATTATTAGTGAATTTAAGAAGATATTTATTTATTTTTTTAATTTTTGTATGCTCTAAAATAGAGTACTCATTTTAATAATAATTATATTATTTATTTAATATTAAAATTATTTTACAACTTCAAATATATTATGGTACTTTTTATATTATATAATATTAATAAAATATTTTTTATTTTTATCTTTCCTTCTTGATTACTATCATATATAAATATAATATTAATATTAAAAAATTTATGTGAAAAAAAGACAAATACATATCTTAGGGACACATTACCTCACAATTACAGGTCCAACCCCTACACCACCAGACCATTACTTAGGGACCATAACAAAATATTTCCACAAACTTGGAATGACCTTGGAATGCCCTCTGTTGATATATGTGGTTTTTTTTTTTTTTTTTTTTTTTTTTTTTTTAAAGTAGATATAGTTTGTATTGTTATAGGGTCAGCTGGGTTAATTAGGCCCCATCCATTGTGCTTTTAACTTTTCTTTGGGTTGGCCCATAATTATATTTTAGAAGTTCAGTCCAATTTTGTATGGGCTTAATCAAGTAAATATATATAAAAATTACTTGAAATATAATTTTCTTAATTTTAATTAAATTATTTAGTTATGTTAATTTTTAATATATAATTTTATTATTATACCATAATTATTTTTATCAATATATTTTTTAATTATAGTAATCGTGAATCATTTATCTGGGACGAAAAGAGTATAATATGAAAACTTCAAATTTTAATGTAACTAGGAGGTGGAAATAGGCCAGGCCAGACCAGGCTTTAGCTAAATAGGTCTGGCCTGTTGTAAAAATGTCTGGCTTAGCTTGAATTTTTTTTTTTTAAAAGCCTGAATTTTACCATTTTAAAAGTCTGGCCTGGCCTGTAGACCTATTTAAAATACTGCATAATATTTTTTGTTTATTTATTTATTTATTTGTTTATTTGCAAATTTAGTATTAGAAATAAAAAATAAAGTAAATACAATTTTCTTATATATATAAATTAAAAATTCTATTTTTTTTATAATAAATTTATAATTAAAATTATTTAATAAATAATATTATTAAATAAAAAGTTATTTTTAATATATAATAATAAAAATATATTTTATAAAATAACAACAATAATAATAAATAAGCCGATCTGTTAGTTAAAAGAGCGCCTAAGTATGTTCTATTTAAATAAAAAAGCTTTAAAAATTTTTTTGACCTGCTCTTTTTATTAAATAGATCAGGCCAGACTAGGCGGCCTGGCCTATTCACATCCCTAAATGTAACCAATCACTTTATAGCAACACATAAGATAGAAAATATAATATTCCGAAGTTGGAAGGTGAGATGACTTTAATATAATTGATTATATTATTTATGTTAAAAATCTATGTGTGTGTATATATATATATATATGAGAGTTCAATTAAAAGAAATTTAAAACTAAATGAGACTAGCAGGCTAAGGAATTACATAGGTAGTACCCGATTTATAGTTGAGTTGACTCATTAGGTGTACAATTGATTCGAACATTCTCAAACAAGTTTGTCAATATGGCAAGGACTTTGCTAAGTTACTGAACCATTGATCAATTTGACAAAATAAATATTAAGTTTGTATGAGATAACAAGTGTAAGACAATGTTTCCATAGTTGAAGTCGATATTAACTGTAGCACTAGTCCTAACCTTGCTCAATGATGGACATGACTTCGAAATTTATAATAATTCCTTGTTGCAGAGTGATTGGTTGTGTATTAATATAAAATGATTGGATCAACGTCCCCTTATAAAGAAGTGAACTTAGGAGGGGCGGTAGAAGGCGTGACAAGACCGATTCACATGATATCAAAGATTCGTCGAAAGCAACAGAAAAATTATTGACTCATACATGTGCAATATGCATTCAATAAGAATATAATACCATACCTGGATTCAAGATTTGCAAAAACATTATTTTAATGTACCGTTTGATTAAGTGACACATATATTTGAAAAACATTAATATGTATTAGGTAGGGATAATGTGAAACATCCATTTAAGGAATACAATAGATTGTTATTTATTTTCTTGTGCATAGGCTCCAACCTATAAAAAAAAATTACATTGTCTACTTATGTAATTGCAAAACAATTTATCTTCAGTATCTTTGTTAGACTTAACAACTCTAAGAGCATCATATTTTTCGCATTTACACAATAGAATTTTGTATCTTAAATTCAATACTTTCGTTGTCGAGCTCTTTTTGCTATGAGGATATTGTAGACATTATAACCATCTAAAAAGAAGGTCGGCCAAACACCTAAAATCAATTTCACATAAAACCAAAGGTAACCATTTTCTACAACAATCAAATACATCCAAAACCAAAATTCCGTAAATTATAAATCCAATGCATCTTATATGTATGGAGTAATGCATCAATACACCTTAAATAAAATTGCATCTTATTATCTGTCACTATTTTTTTTTTTTTTTTTTTATATCAATTTTTATTTTCTTCTTCTCTCTTCTCTGCGTTCTTTTATTTTTTCTTTATGATAAAGTCTATTTTTCTTTTACTTTATTTATTTCAAAAATATAGATCATTATTCATTCATTTTCATTATTGCAGGTAGAGCTGGCAAAAACTGACCCGACACGACAATCCGACACGAAATAATTGGGTTTGAGTTAAATATTTCAACCCGATTATGTATACGAATTGACACGAACCCGACACGATAATAAACGAGTCGGGTTAGGATTGAGACTCTCAACTCGAACCTGACACGATAACCCAATTATAATATATTAATATTGATTAATATATTTATTATATATATAAAATAATCATAATTTAATAATTTTTTCATAAATTAATTTAAACTAAGCTCAATTTTAAATAATTCAACTTAATTTACGCCTCAAACCAATAAAAACTAACATAACACGACAACAAAACAAAAAATTATTTAATTTGAATCAAGAAATTAGACTTAATTATGTATACGGGTCAACCCGAACCCGACACGATAATAAATGGGTTAACACGAACCCGACACGATAATAAACGGGTCGGATTAGAATTGAGTAATTTAACCCGTTTAAAGTAGTCAACCCGACACGAATCGACACATTGTCGGCTCTAATTGCAAGTATGCAAGTACATATAAATAACAAGTATTATGAATGCAAAGGTAAAATCTAAACATTTATTTTTGTTTCATGGTATAATTTTGATATTACTAGAAATTAATTGAATATTTATTTAATTTTTATTTTGTTGATATAATAATGTTTAATTTATTTTATTTGAAGGAATACTCCGAATAATTTTTGTTTTATGTATTGATATGTTGTTTGAGTTTTCAAGGAATCATCATATATATATATTCAATCGGTAGCTTATATTCTTTTTTATAATATTCTTTTAAATAATATATTGTGAATTTTTCTATTTTTCTTGCCCTTTTTCCTATTTTTAATATCCATTCTATTTTTTTTTTCTTTTCAATTTTTTTTTCTTTTTTCCATCGTTTAAAAATAATAAAAAATTGCTTGTTCCCTTCTTCTTTTTTTTTTTTTTTTTCTAATTTACTTTCGCTATTTTATTTTTGTGTTCAAATTACTAATATTCTTTTATTCATATTATTAGTTTTTTTGCTATTAAATTAGTATTTGGTATATAATTATTTATTTTCCAATTTTTTTTTTCATTATTTTTTTGGGACTTATTTATAAGAAAATAAAAAAGATATTGGATATCAAAAAGAAAAATATGTTAAAATCGAAAACAATTTGAAGCACATATCAAGAATTTAAATACCGAAGAGCAGCACATATGTCAAGACTTTAAGAATTCAAAATCCGGAAGATTTACTTCAATGTATATTTTTAGTACTATTATATCAATATATTTGATTAAATATTGCATGATGTTACTATATGTATTTAAAAATATTAATTTTATTAACTGATATATAATGTTGTATTCATGTTTTTTTTTTTAATATTTATAATATTGAATTCTACAATTTAAATTTAAATTTTGATGCACATGAAAAAATAAAATATTTTATTTTATTTGATTAAATATTAATTATTCATGACAATTTTTTTTTTCAAATAAATCATGGAAATTTGTGTGGAAGTTTTTTGTAAAATAATTATTATTTAGATGTGGCAAAATATATATCAAATTTATTGCTGTAGCAATTAGTGTATCAAATAAGTTTGTGGCAAATTATATTGGAAATTGTCATGACAATTTATGTAGCAAAATTAGCTACACTGCTCATCGCCCCTAAATTCATTTTCATGACTAATTTTATAACAAATTCATTAACTACATATATTTTTTAAAATTTTTATGACTAATTTCATAAAAAATGAATATTTTGTTGTAGCGAAAGTTGACTAAGTCTTGCGAACAATCAACACAATCATGTTTAAACAAGACCATATATGAATATGGCAACACGTTCGTGTTCAAATATGGACATATTTATTGTCATGTTTTAATTCATGTTTACCTTGTTATTCGAACTACCTAATACATATATATATATAATTTAGCTAAAATAAATTTTACAATTATTAAAAGATATAAAACAATAATCAAAATTTAATATTTTAAAAATAATTACAAAATAGTAATACTCCCTCCGTCCCGTTAGAAATGTGGCGTTTGCTTTTTGCAAGTAGATTTTTGAATATTAGTATTATATTTGATTGTAGTAAAAAAGACAAAAATACCCCTATTAGTATGGTGTAATATAAAAGTAATGACATTTGTATAATATATTGTAAGTTAAAAGGGTATTTATTATGTTAGGTAGGTAGTACAATTACTAAATTAGAAAATGGTAACCTTGTTTTGGGACGGACGGAAATAGAAAATGGTAACATTTTAATGGGACGAAGGGAGTAATAAGAGAGTTTTCTAAAACATACAAATATATATTTCATGAAAAATTGATGTATCCCATATAAGTTTTATTATGAAAAATAGGCAACAAAGAAGAACTTGAAGTCAATCATCTACAACATCCATGGTCAAAAGAAGAGTTATGACATTCACTAGTGCTTCAAAATAACAAGATACATCGGTCAATCTTTCAAAGAAATTAATAGAATCACGATTGAAATGAGAGATCATGTTAAAGAGATTGATTCTTCCTAAGAAATTGAAACTACATAAATGATAAATAAAATATGTAAAGGCTAATTAGTGATGGTTCACTGTACACTATAGAAACTAAAATTTTTGATAAGTTAAATTCTATATTATATTCTACAAAAAATTTTTTGTATACATAAATTTTTTTTGTATTAATTTTTTTTTTTTTGGTCTACCCAACAATCTTACGTAAACATATAAACTTCTGGGGATAAAGTGAGAGAGTGACTTGGATGAATACAAAAGAATTTGAGTATTTATAATGTCGGATTTATAATTTTTGAAGAGAAGGCGAGATAACGATGAATACAAAAGAATTTGAGATATAGGGTTTATACGTTTGAGAAGAAATGAAGAATGTTGTGAATACAAAAGAATTTGAGATATAGGGTTTATAACGTTTGAGAAGAAAGAGAGAGCTGTGAATACAGAAAAGAATTTGAGCATTTACAGTGTAGGGTTAATAAATTTTGAGGAAAAAGTAAGAGAATGATGAATACAAAAGAATTTGAGATATATGTTTATAACGGTTGAGAAGAAAGAGAGAGAGTTGTGAATACAAAAGAATTTGAGTATTTACAGTATAGGATTAATAACTTTTGAGAAAAAAAGTGAGAAAACAATGAATACAAAAGAATTTGAGATATAAGTTTATAACGTTTGAGAAGAAATAGAGAGAAGCTGTGAATATAAAATAATTTGAGTATTTACAGCGTAGGATTAGTAACTTTTGAGAAAAAAGTGAGAGAATAATGAAAACCAAAGAATTTGATATATATGTTTATAACGTTTGAGAAGAAAGAGAGAGAGCTGTAAATACAAAAGAATTTGAATATTTACAATTAATAAATTTCGAGAAAGAAGTAAGAGAACGATGAATACAAAAAAATTTGAGATATAGGTTTATAACGTTTGAGAAGAAAGGGAAAGAGCTGTGAATACAAAAAAAATTGAAGTATTTACAATGTATAGTTTGTAACTTTTGAAGAAAAAATAAAATAGCGAAGTTGATGAATACAAAAGAATTTGAGTATTTGTAATACGTTTGGGGGGAGAAAACAAACTAGTAAAGTAAGAATGAGTTAGTTTAAAATTTATAACTTTTGAGAAAAAAACTGAGATAGCGAACTTAAGTGATAAAAAATTTAAATATTTAACTTAGAGTTAGGATAATAATATTATAATAATTAATAATATATTATTATAAATATATAAATATATTGTTTAATAAAATACAAAAAAATAATTAAAGATTGTAAATATTTATCTTATTGAAAAATTTCTATTTTAAAGTCTAATATTTGAAAGAGAAACCAACCTATCACTACTTTCACTTCAATTTATAAGGATACAATATTTAAAATATATATTTTTGTAATATCAAAATTTAATCCACAATTATGTCTAATATTTTAAATAAAGAAATCAATCTACCATACCTTCAGCTAGCTAATAAGATATACAAAATATTTGAAAATCATATATAGTTTTATGCCTATCAAATTTTTATCTATAGCTAAATCTAATGTTTGAAAAAAGAGCCAACTTACCAACACCTTTGTTGTAGCTAATAAGAAATTTAAAAATTTTATATTATTATTCCTATAAAAATTTTATCCATAGCTAAATCTAATACTTCCTCTGTCTCAAAAAGAAATATTCATTTGCTTTTTGCACATAATTTTAGAAATATTAGTATTATATTGGGATATAGTAGGAATAAAGTAGAAATGACTAAAATAACCTTGTTAGTATATGTGATATATATGTAATGACATTTGTGTAATATATTATAAGTTGTAAAGATATTTGTAATGTTAAGTAGGTAGTAGTACACTTACTAAAAATATCCATACATTTTATTTTTACATTACTTTTACTTTCATGTCCGTGGTAAAATAGATATTACACTATATATTTATAAAATACTAATTCATCTTAATTGGTCTGCAAAAATCAAATAAAAGAATTTATTATTGAACAAAAGGGTATTTTTTTATATTACCGAAATGAATTTTCATATCTAATATAAAAAACATATACATATCAAACATATACATATGATTACTTTGTTGATAGATAATTATGATGATTATCATTAATTAATTAATTTTAAGTTTTGTACGAAATAGAATTATATTAAATAATAATAAAATAATATGGAGAGATTATTACCAAAGAAAAAGATAACTCACAATAGCCCACTTAAGAAAGTCAATTAAAATTTGGGCCCAGAGAATCCATTTCCAGCCCATATATTGTAATAATTATTTTAAGGGCATATCCGTCATTTTCAATACTGTTTCCTCTTCCAACAGAACAGTAGCGGTATGTCAATAGTCCTCAAGTTTGCATTTCTAATATTTTTCTGCAGCACCGAAACGTCGTCGTTTTTGCACCATCCATGGCGAATCAAGGAGCGAAGAAGCGAAAGGAAGAAAACGCCCGACATATGAAGAATCTCCTCCGTCTGATCATCGCCTCCAACGTACTGTGATGGAAATTTCATCAATTTGAGTTGCTAGCTAAGTTATTGGTTTACGAGCGATGCTTGATTGCTCAAGATTGGTGGATTTTTTTCTGTTGCAGGTGATATATCTGGTGATTAGGATCGGGTTTTTCTACTCGAGCTTCACGTGGAAGCACTGGATGGGCTTAATTTTGACTACGGCCGCCTACGTGATTCCGTACCAGCAGCTTGCCGCCATGGCCAAACCTTCGTACACTGATGGAGGGGAGCTTCTTGACGGAGGGTTTGATATGAGTACTGGTGGAATTTGCGGGTACTTACTTTGTTTCTGCGATTGGATTTCTATTCCTGTGGTTGAATTCCTTTACTTATTACTCAGATTCGTTTCTCGGATCAAATTGAGCAATTGACACAGTAGACTATCCATTTATTGACACATTAATTCGTGTTTTTTTTTTTTTTTTGTTTGTATAGAATTTGCGTCAGCTCATCTTCCAGCGCAATTGCAAGAATCTTTAGTTTTGTGTGCTTTCTTGAGCAATGATGGCAATGTTCTTTCTTGTTTTCGTTTTGGTTATTTTCTGGTATCATTTTACTATGAAGATTTTCTTGACTTCACTTGATATTTTTTTGGTCAGATCTACTTCTTGTGTAGTTAACGAGTGATTGAATCCTTGCTTTGTTTCTAACTAAAACCAGTTCTTGGGCAAGATGTTCGTGTGTTTGTTTGGAGGTTCGGGTTTTGAAGAGTAAAATCTTGAATTTGAATAATTGATTGATGTTTTGTAACTAGATGTTGATGCTATGTTTTATTTTAGAATGAAATAATAAATGAGGAATCGGTGTTTGATTTGGGAAATTTCATGAACTTAAAAAAACTTTTAGAAGATGAGATCAAATGGAGTTCTAGTGGCGTTGGAGTCTTGAAATTGGATTTGAAGTTTATTTTACAGCATGTTTAGGTTCCTTAAATGTGTGTATATATATATATATATATGATTTTAGTTGTAAGTTTCGGATTCTGCTTGGGAGTAGCTGTGTTAGTTGATATTTATTAATTTTCCCTGCTGCCACTAGAACAATAGAATTTTACTTGATTTCAGTTTAATTATATTATAAAGGTTTTCTGTGGTTGATTTCATGTTCATAAAAAAGATAACAATTTGAGGTACCTTTTTCATTAAAAGTTGTCCTTAAGAAGGAATCTTTATCTAATAGATATGACTGAAAATTCTGGTTATGTTATTATATAGGGCTTATAGCTTCGAGATCTAGCAATTTGGATTATGCTCTATCCAAAATATTGGTTTTTTTTTTTTTTTCTTTTTTAATTCAATATGTTCTAGGCTTCGAACTTGTGGTTATTGGGCATAAAAACAATCGAAGGAACTTGCTAATCTAGTTTCTTATATTTGGCTGTGTTTTAGGTTACATCAGTCTATGAACCAAGATGGCCTTCTCGTGCTCGCTTAACCTTTTATAGTTTTGAAAACTACTATTTAGTTTTTATCAAGAGTCAAGGCAATTTTGAATAAACTTTGATGAGTATGATTTTGATTTCACATCCTAGCATTTATTTACTGATTTTGCTAAGTTAGGGTACCAAACTTATTGAACTAAAAATGTTTTACAAGCTTGTTTTTATCATTTTGAATATACAAGCTTGCATAGATTTTGTAAATCAAATCCCAAATGTTCGTCTAATTTCCTTTATTTTGAAGGCCTAAACTTCTACGGCATTTCATTGCAGATATCTGCACGACGTGATCTACATCACATGTTTTGTCCAACTCAGTTCTATCCTTTCTGAGAAGTTCTGGCTTGTTTACTTGGTGGTAAGGCTTTTGTCCCCTGTCGTTGCATGCACTAAAAAGGATTCGAAATAAAAAGGGGAAAAGTTTCATCTTCAATCATAATATTAAATTTTGTTGCTGTGTAATCTAAGTTGAGCATTAGTACAGGACTCTAATTGTTAGATTTCATTTCGTAACGTGTTAGCTTAGGTTTTCATTTCGCAACATGGGGATCTTGGTAAATCAATTGAAATTGGTTTTTGTTTTTGTGCTTGGTCACTTTCTGATTTATTGATCATTTTTTCGACACAAATCAAGGTTTAGTATAACATTTTTCAAGCAGTAATGATTACTTAGGCCATTTGAAGTTGATTTGAGGGCACACCAAAATTATAATTCTAGGGGTGATATATCCTCCGACATTTTTTTCAAAAGCCATATGCAGTTACATGTTTCTGATTTTCTCGAGATATTTAGCTTGCATGTATTGAATAAATATGCAGATTCCAGGATTTGCAGCCTATCAGCTTTTTGGGTTCATCAAGGGGTTTCTATCCCATGGTTCGGAGGTAATATTATAATATCATGTACTAGAGTTTGAAATTTCTTAAGAAATACTTTCTCCGTCTCAAACATGGTGCAACATTTGTTTCCGGTACGGGAATTTAGGTGGGTAGTAGTAGTATTAAATAGTACTAAATGATAAGAGAGAAAAGTGTATATTTATTTGAGTGATGTGATATGATAAAGTGTGGAGTATGGATTAAATATATTTAATTATTTCCTATTTTAGAAATATTGGAGGATGTTTGAGACATACCAAGAAAAAAATATTGGAAGATATTTAGGACGGAGTAACTTTTTAACTGATTACAAGTAATGTTGTTACTGATTCTCACCCAGGGGGCGGAGGAAGATGAAAAGACGAGAAAAAAGAGGGAAAAGATGGAGAAGAAAGCATCGAGAGGGAAATTCATCAAAACTAGAACCCGGTAAACAAAATTTAAAAATATGCTTTCGAAAAAAAAATCTAGATGGCATACGAGCACAGATCTGTTCTTCATTGAAGCACACAATCGTGCAATATGAGCGCTTCGAAACTTGTATTTCAAGATTTTTTGTAGTGTTAGTATGTCGGAATGGTGTTTCGAATTGTCTTGGGAGAAGCTTGTTGTATTTATCCAGCCTTTCATGAAATGTTGATGCTCCAACAAATCTTGTTATGAAGTTCTTGGCTTTCCATGACTTTGTCGATAATGTTTTCGGGTGGCCGAGTGATCATTTGAGCTTTAGCACTTAATATGGACATTGTAGTTCTTGCCTTCGTTTTAGTGTTTATGTCGATTGGTTCTTTAGCGACGAGTTTGTAAGAAAAAATAGTATATTGTTATTATAAGAGTGATATTGAAGAATTGGATAAACCTAGGGCAAACTAATTTTGTTTAGAATATTGTTAATAGATGTTTAGCTAAATTTATTCTCATTTTTTCTTTTTCGTACTTTTATTATTTTTTTATTTTTTATGATATAAGAATCTGCAGCTTTTATCGAAAAATGCGCATTAGTTAAACTTCAGTCGAATCTAATAGTTGCAAACTAGACCCGACAGACAAGTCATATTAAATTTTTTTTTTTTTTTAATTTATATTACATAGAAATGAGCTGTTAAAAGTGTGGTTGATTTTAATTTTTGTTATTTTTAATATACACAATTATTAATAAATATATATATATATATATTGTTTTATTTTTTAACAATATTTTATAGTTGTTGATATTTATTAATAAAAATAAAACTATACATTAAACGAACACAGCAAGTTACAGTTATTTGACAGATGATTGATTAGCCTCATAATTCCTCCATTGATCGAAATAGAGAGGTCTTCGCCAAATAATACTTTCGTTCGCACATATAATATCATATATATATATTCTTATTTTTGTTCGTGCAGCATTTTAGGCCACTTTATTTTTTTTTTAATTTTTTTTATTACGTTTTAAAGTTATAAATTTTATAAAAAATTATATTTTAATTACACTAATTAATTATTTTAATATATAATTATTTATATTATATTATAATTAATTTATTAATTATAGTCTTTTTAAATTTTTGTTTCCATAGTAACTAGGACATTATATTCGAAACAGAGAGAATATTATTGATCGTCTTTTACATATGTATCTATGTATCAAAGAATTATTAGTTGAACTACCTCAAAATCTCATTTTACAAACTAGCTTAACTTCATATATAACTATATCTCAGACATGATATATTAAAGATATAATAAATGTTCGAGATAATTATATTATTTTGCTTAGAAATAAAAATTAAAAAAAAATTAAAAATTTAATATAAAAATAAAATAGATAAAAAGTAAAATAAGATAATTATAAAAAAATTATTAAAAAACTAACAAGAATAGTAAAATAAAAAAATTATAATAGCAAATTAATTATTATTTATTAAAATAAAAATAATAAAATAATAAAACTGTTTATATATAAATTTTTTAAAAAAATAAATTAAAAATGACATAATTATTCTGAATAAAAGGAGTATATTTTATTATTTTATTGAATTTAATAAAATATTTTGAAACAGAACTTTCATGACCTAATAACTTTTCAAGCATTTATCAAACTTATAAGTTTAAATTCTGTTTTTATGGACAGATTAGGGTAATGGTTGAGACTAGTCGTATATCAAATACTCCATTCGTGTCGGAATTAAATATTTATTTGCTTTTTGCACGTTGTTTTAAAAATATTAGTATTATATTGAGATATAGTAGGAATAAAGTAGAAATGACTAAAATAACCTTATTAGTATGTGTGATGATATAGAGGTAATGACATTTGTGTAATATATTGTAAGTTGTAAGGGTATTTGTAATGTTAGGTAGATAGTACAATTATTAAAAGATGAAATGAATACTTTGTTATGGGACGGACTAAAATAAAAAAAATAGATACTTTGTTATGAGGAGAGAGTACTAAAATTTAATAATATAGACTGTTACAATTTTTTTTTTTTTTTTTTGTGACGTGAGAATTCGCAATAAAAAAAATAAAAATTGTTATAATATGTTTTTTGTTTTAATTTATATGTGCATTGTGTTAATCCATTATTTGTTGAAATTAATTGTAATATATCTACCATATCTGTAGCCAACAATAAATTCCACTGCATTCAAGGCTATATCTAGTTTGATAGGGTTTGTTCCATTAGTGTTTTTGAATGATATGACTTTTTATAAATATAATCAAAAAATTATAATATACAAATATAACGTAATATATAATACATATATCTTATTTATTCATAAGAAATTAGTGATATATAAAAAATATATCTATCAAAAAATACAAAATAAACAAACCGTGCCTTGTGTTTAAACAATAGCTAACGGCTAACCTAAAATACTTTTGTTATTTTTACTCCCTCCGTCGTCCCATATACTATGTCCAAGTTGCCGTTTCTGTCCGTCCCACGTACTATATCACTTTTATTTTTTGGAAAATGATTACACACTTTAATCTCATTTTAAATTTTAAATTTTTTTTTTAATTTTAATTAAACTAATTAGTTATCTTAATCTTAATTTATAATTATTTATATTATAGGATAATTATTTTCACTAATACATTCTTAATTATCTACTAATTACACTATTCATAAAATACCGTGTCTACAATGTAACAGATACGATATCTGTATCTGGGACGGAGGGATTATTATTTTAAATAATACTCGATACTTATTATTTCATTTTTATAATTTATATTCCGAAGACTACATTTACTTTTTTATTGTCATTAGTACACAAATTTTTATCTACTACTAAATATAATATAAATATATATATATTTTTTTAAAATCTGGTACCACAGAATCAAACTATTTCTCAATTGATTTGGAATAAAAAAAAAATATATATCTCCGTTCCGGCTCTAAAGTCCAATTTATTTTTTACGTGTTGATATTTAAATATTATTATTATATCAAAATGTAGTATAAATTAAGAAAAAATTATAAAAATACTTTCATTAGTGTCTTATAATACTAGTAGTAGAAGAGACATTTCCAAAAAAATTATACATATATAAAGATATTTTTAATATTAAATACAATGACGTAAAAGTAAATATGACACTTAGAGGCGGACGAAAGAAAATAAAAGTACTACTCCCTCCGTCCCGGCTATGGTATCCCATTGACGGTATACATTAAATTTTATGAAAAGTATAATTAGTAAATAATTAAAAATATATTAGTAAAAATAATTATCACATAGGAAAAATAATTTTATATTAAAATTAATAACACTAATTAGTATAATTAAATTTAAAATTAAAAATTTTAAAATAAAATTAAAATGTATAATCCTTTTTCAAAGCGTAAATGGGACCGAAGGAGACTGTAAAAAAAAAAAAAAAAAAAAAAGTACTACTATGTAGTGAAAAAGAAAAATAAAACCACAAGAAAATTCCAATTTCATGCTCTCTCCGTCTTGCTGCCAAAATTTATGAGTTTGATTAGCGCATAAATTTTTTTTAAATAATAATTTAGTAAATTAATGATAATAATTTATAATATTATTTTATTACTTTTATGTGAATGGTGACTCCCTCCCTCCCAGTCCAATATAATATTTTTATCATCTTTAAATTTTACAAAAATATTTATTTCATTTGTAATGTAAAAATATTAAAAGAATTTTACAAATTTTAACTAATTAATAAAATATTATTATTTTTTAATCTATTACAAAAAAAATTAAATGAATATATTGGACCGGGACACAATATTATATGACTTAAAAGAAGTTTAAAATATATATTTCAATATTTTAAATACTATATCTCATTAATATATATATATAATAATAAACATTATTTTATAGAGTATAAAATTTTTATATAATACAACTAAATAAAAAAATTTATTTATCTATAATTAACAAAAATTATTATTCTTTTAGAAATAGAATATTATAAATAAAAATAACAATATTTATTTATTAGGAAAAGATAGAATAAAAAATTTTTAAGTTGAATTAAGAAGAGAGAAATAGAGGTTTGAGAAGAGAAAAAATAAAATAATTTTGTGAGTTCTACACGTCCTAATTAGAACGAAATGTAGTGAAATATTACACAATTTTCACAAGGCCACCTAAATGACTACTCTTTTTATACACATTTTTAATATATATATATATATATATATATTAGCATCATACAACAGCAATAATTTCTTGATAAAAAAAAAAGAAAAAAAAAGAAAAAAATGCAATTATTATCACCACTGAATCTCACATTAGAAACATATTGGAAACTCACAAGTCCATTTAATGCCAATGGATCCCCCTTCTTTACAATCATTGAATAAATCTCATATATATAGATAGATTTCTTTCAATATTTTTTCTCAATTTTTACTATTTACTCTATATTTTTCAAAAAAAAAAAATAATAAATAAATAAAAAAACAAGTTTCTTCTCATAAAAATCACATAAAATATTATTTAAACAAAAAAAATTCAAAATTTTCAAGTCAGTCACATATAGCAAACAATTTTGCACCAACTCACCTCACCTCTTCTATTTAAATAAAATATACATTTTCTTATGCAAGTAACAATTGTGCCTTCATGCCAAATCCAAAAGCAAAGTAGAACTCAACAATATATACAAAACACAACTAGAAAATGTGGATTGAAACACCTATTTGATTTTATGCTCTGTAACATTTACTTTCAAAAAGACGCATAACTTAAAGCATCTAATTAATTGCAACAAAATACACACATACACATGATTTAAGCATCGCACAGCTAAAATGGACAAAATCACAAAAATATTCATCATGCTACTTCAGTGGATTAAGAACAAACATCTAGCAGGAGGATTAAGGACAGACGAAATATGAACAATCAAGACAACAGAATACTCGATAACATGACTTAAAAAATCCCGCACCGGCAAGAAATAGTACAAACTGATCATCAATGAAATACAATGGATAACCGCCCGACTCGAGTATAACGGAGTTCTTACTACATAGAGAGCTACTGTACCAAGGAACAAACAAGCACGTCTAATTTCGATTATATGAGCAGCTAGGCTGTATAGCAAGACGAAAACATAAGATCTCTCACATGGATGACGGCATAACAAAATAAAACTCAAATGGAGAATAGTGATGTAGTCCTAAATGTATCGCGATATCTAGTTTTGAGATACAGAATATTTATAGCAAATACTGTGATGAAATATGTTGTAAAAGCCCAAACTTACTACAGACTCTTACTCACCTCAGATTGAAGCCCTCAATCGATCTTTACTGACGAAAAAAGGTAATGGACAAAGTAGAACGAAGTAAGGAAGCCAATGGTACCTGTAGAAAGCATGATTGCGACCGCCATTATCAGCGAGTAGCCAAGATAAAGCGTGGCAGACACTGGTCCGCTCAAGCTCTGGAGATCGAAGACCAGATAATTGATGGAGTACAGGAATACGTAAAGTGCGACTGATCCGGAAGAAAAGAATGCTTTCCACCACCACATCCAATCCTCGACACAAAGATGCATGTATGTCAAGACAACAGAAACTTCGGCGCAAACTATCACCAGCAGCAACAGGACAATAAGCAAGAAGCCAAAGACGTAGTAGAATCTACCGAGCCAGATGCTAGAGAGGATGAAGAAAAGCTCGATGAAAAGGGTTCCAAAAGGAAGAGTTCCGGCACCAAGAACAAGAAGCCATGAGGGATACTTGCGGGCAGGGATTTCTCTTGGGATCTGGTTCGTGCGGACCGGGTATTTAATGGGCTCAGCTCGTGTGCCCAAATGCCCTCCCAAGAGTGTGAGTGGTACTGATATACAGAACCAAAGTGCAAAGAGTTTGAAATATAAGGAAATCGGGATAGCCCCGGTGCTCTTACTTCCCCAGAGGATGAAGTTCAACACTGTCAAGATTACAAAAACAATTCCGGGGAAGAAGCAAGCTGTTGACCAAGAAACGGATCTCCACCCCTCTGACGTGCCTTTTATAGTCGTCCACATTCTCACTCCAACATAGCCAGAAGCGATTCCCAGGAAAAGATAAAGCATTATCATGCCAGTCAATAGCATACCTCGGGAAGCCGGTGACATGAAACCAAAAGCTGCAAAAACAATAGTGACAACTGCCATCCCAGTGATCTGAACTCCATCTCCAACCATCACACACAATAACTTAGAATGAGATGGTTCTCGGAAGACATCACCAACTACGAGCTTCCAACCTGAAAGTTCCTCATTCATCTGAGCCTGAGACTCTTTGTCCAATTCCTCATATCTTGTCAAATCCCTTCTCACTGTCCTCAAAAATATGACGAAAACAATTCCAGCCAAGAAGAAAATCACCACCAATGAATTGAGAATTGAGAACCAGTGTACGCGAGCTCCTTCCATCTTCAGATAAGCGTCCCAACGAGAGGGCCATCTGATGTCACTTTTGACAAACTCAACCTCATAAGTAAATGACACTTTCTCGTGCTCCCTTATAATTTGAGACTTGTCCAGTGTCTGCGGGCAGCTTATGGATGGAGCTTTGTCATACATGTGGAGCTTTTCCATCTTGTCGGGGTCATATTTTACACTACATGGGATAACCTCAAACCCAACTATTTCATATCCAGAAGCCTTTTTTTTCTCAGCTTCTGAAAGAAGCCCCAGTCCCCCTTCTTCTCCCGTACTAAGTACCTGCACACCAGCTCCTTCATATTCATGAATCAATACCTTAAACTTGAGATGGTTGATAATGTAATCATCATTGCTATTGGGAGGGGTGTATCCCACTGGGTATCCGGTCCACTGAATTTTGACTGCATTTTGGTAGGTATACCTTATAGCTGGCAGATTATCAAGAATCATGTTCACTTGATAGAGATCCCGGGTTCTCTGTTTTAGAAGCTTTACCTCGTGCTCATTCAAAGGGCGAGTAGTGCAAAGGTATACAGTTTCATTTACATTCATCCGGAATTGGTATGGAGAATTATCGATTTGATCTCCCATCAGCAGTTCTCCAAGATTTTCAGCGCTCTTCTTGATGCCTTCTTTAGGCGGGCAATAAGGAAGAGAGTAATAGCTGTATGGAAGCTCGGTTTCAATGGAGGTCAAAGAATTTACTTTGGCATATATTTTATCTCCTGGGGAATATGTGTGCATATAGCTCCCAGGCAGGTAGAAACCATTACACAACTGGAATAAGATAACCAAATACACAAAACCCGGCCAAAATTTCCTCCTTGATATCAAAGGAAAATCCATTGTTCCCTAGAAGGATGTCACAGAAACTGTCCAGAATCCAATTTAATCAAATCTTTGCATACAGGTATGGCTTCTGCAAAATAATAAATTGCAATTAGCATATTATTCTGAAATTACTAACTGAATTATGCTCAAGAGCATTTACAACCTACAACTAAGTAATATGTGTACAGTATATTAAACAAATTGTAATACTTTACAATATAAAAGAAGCATCAAAAGCAAGTCCTATTAATAATGTAGCGGTCCATATGATTGCCAGGGCAAAATCCACAATGATCGTAAAAGAGGTTATCATCATACACACTTCTGTGAAACAGAATACAAACCAATTCATATCCATTATAATTATAAATGTATGTCTTTCTAGGCATGCAAATAATTGACCATAATTTCATCTAATATACCATTCTGTGTACACCAAATCTACCGATTCATTTCACAGAATAAAATTGGAACGTTTACAAAAGGTGAGCAAGAGCTAGCAAAAATGTTAAATTAAAAATAAAATAAAATTAAAAGGCACAATGCTCTGCAGGCACCATAGCACAAGGAAATAACCTTAGGCAAGAAAGTAATCAGCAAACTAGAGCTTTACAAAACCAGCAAAACATGTTAAGGGGAAAGATAATCGAACGGCACTAACGATCTGCAACCTTAACTGACAATTGCTCAATAAATTTATTTGAATTCCTCAACTAAACCTAGACTGGCAGACTACACCACCAAGGACAATCAACCACATTACCCTCATAAAACAATACAACAACATAACATGAAGCTCCATTGAAGAACCAATGGAGCTTCAGCTCTAAAATGCCAACTTCCAATGATCGACATTTTGACAAATCACCTCCGAGAACATGAAAAACAGGAGATCGTTATAATCTCACCAACACCAAGTGCAGCAATTCAAAACAATAAATAATTGACATCATTTATTGTCCAACAAATCTTCCAACATTTGATATTAACATTACAAACACGTTGGCATTCAATAAATCCTTCACTTATTTACTATTCACATCAATCATGATTCTGTAACAGCAGACCGCATAACTCCCACAATTCTATTCCCAACGGCTAAAGCGGACACTGTAGGTAGAAGCAACAAAACTTGACAACGCACGAAAGCTGTAAAACCGGATTAATCCCTCGCGTGCTGAACCCTAAACCAAAACCCCAAACCACTCAGCGCGTAGATCTACAACAATATCCCATCACCAATTCCAAATTGAAAGCTTATTATGACCAAATAAATTAAACACCAGCAGCAGAGCAAAAAAATGTCAACAAACGTTCAAAAGCAGCGATTCAACAAGAAAATAATGAAATAAAACAAACGAAATTCAACTTAATCCATGCACGCCTGAAAGAAACTTACCCCTACCCAACCACGATGGATCTAATTCAATATCACGCTCGGTATTCAGTCGGTAGTCAAAGGGAGGAGCAGTTCCTTGACTGGAGGGGGAGAGAAGGAGTTGGGGTATAGGGAGAAGAGGCAGGCAGGCGCATGAGAGTCCGGGAATGGAGCAATGCTCCGTCGCGTGAAGACGAAGGGCGAGATTCAGATCCACAGCTGGCATTACCGTGAAAAGACAAAGTTACCCTTACAACTTTTCGTGAGAAGTACTTGTTAATTGCATTGAATACTGTATCATTTGTTTATATTTATAATTATTTTGGATTCAATATTGCTATTATTAATTCTAATATATATATATATTCTTGTCATATGTAATAGGTTTGTTCTTGTTTATATGAATTTATTTTTGGTGTACAGTATAAGAAATTATGTCAATTATATTATTTTAAATTGTATATTTAATTTTTTAATTTTTTTAATAATTATTTAAATTTCTTTTTAACCTTTTAAATTATATAAAAATTATATATATATTTTTTATACAAAATATTAAACATCTTACATTACATTAAAAATATAATTTTTTTATTTTACAAATTCTTCAAAACTATACACTACCAAGTATATCTAAATACACTTATATAATTATTTCTAAATACATTTATATAATTGTTGATACTGTTTTCAACGATAAAAAGTAAAATTTGAAAATTAATTTTAAATTTGACTACAATAATATCTGGAATTGTAATTCCCTAGATACCGTACGGAATGTGAAAGAAATAAAAGTAACAAATACTGAAAGATAAAAAAGGATGATCCCCACACGAATTTCTCTAATATTGATGCTGATTGAAGATATCTTTTGCCGGATACGAGATGCCTGTTATATGTCTTCCAAGTCGGTTATTAGATCGTATGTGTCGGATTATCAGTCGGTTGCAACTGCCCCGATGAACCGCCTTATGGTTGCAATGGAGAACTGTCTTGCGGTTGCAACTGTCTGAAAAACCATTTTGCGGTTGTATCTTTACTGACTATTCTGATGTTACCATCCGACCAACCGACCAGACAGGCTACCGACTGGTGGACTGGTTCCTTGCAATTACCTGAAGAACCGTCTTGTGGTTGCACCTTTGCTGACTGTTCTGATGCTACTAACTGACCAGCCGACCAGACAGGCTACCGACTGGTTGACTGGTTCCCTTGCAACTGCCTGACGAACCGTCTTGCGGTTGCACCTTTGCTGACTGTTTTGACGCTACCAACTGACCAGCCGACCAGAAAGGCTACCGACTGGTTCCCTTAATGGATGTGTGGAAACCCACCCCCTTTTTGGGTTTGTCTGCGGGCCCAAGTTTTTAAGTCCATCTACAGGCCCAATAAAACCTTAAAATATTTTAATATCTAACAATTTGCCTCATCCCGTCCGAGTCATCGCTTCTTGGTTAATGCGAGATTTGACGTTTTGGGAGTCTATTCATCATTATGTTGTCCTATCATGGGTTTTACGAAAAAACCCACTAAAAACTCCTCCACTTCGTCTTCCTCCTTACGCCTTTCATTTCCTAATTTCTTTCTCCTCTTGCTAAAATTCCTCTCATCTCATGCAAACTTCAACCTACTGCGATCATGGCAAACCAATATGTCCCTGCTTTACCTTTCGATGGTTATGATCCTGAAGTCTTCTTTGTTTCATCTTGTGTTTTTACCCTTACCATACGCCCTTACTGTACCACTTCAGAAAATGCTTCTCGCATGAGGAGTATCATCTCACAGGTCACCCCTTTATCCATTAACAGTCCATATTTCAAATCCGAATGTATCACTGACCACATCAAGACTCACCTCACTGATCCAAATGAAGCCTTTCGGACTTGGTATTCCAAGCTATCCCCCATTTTCGGAGAGCAATGGAAACGCTAGGGGATCGACAAAGCCATCTACCTCTCCACCCAACCCTTATATCTTCATGACAAGGTCTTACTGGCCATGGCGGCCTTCTGGAATGCACAAATGGGCGTTTTCCTTCTCCCTTCCGGTCCAATCAGCCAACCCTAATGGATGTGGCCCTGGTTGCTCATCTCCCCGTCGTGGGCGACGACCCAGTGCTGGGCAAGCTTGATGGTCAGGAGCCAGTGCCCGACCACGAGTGTTGGTCGCTTGCTCGAACCAGCGAGAAGGACAAGGGCTGAACCAACTTCGTCGTCCGACACCAGGGCGCGAACGGTTCCCTTGCAACCACCCTGGAGCACACCGTCTTCCTCTTATTTTGGCTATGCAGGTATGTGGGTTCTTTCATCTTGTAAATTTTGCAAATACTTGTTTGAATTTTGATGTATTCTTGTATCATTTACATATACGTAATTCTTTCTTCTTCTAAATCAGTTTTGACCTCCCAAATAGACTTAGCTATTCATTTAGCCAATGACCGATTTTTCTCCTTAGGCACCCTCTTTCTGGCCAACCTATATGAGGGTCTGTCCAGAGTCAGTGTCCGCCTCCTAAGTACCAAAAAGACGGACACAGCCGCCTCTGGCCCATTCTGGTTCCTAGAGCTTTGGCTTCGTTTATATTTTCCAAAAGCCTTTTTTGGTCGGCTACCTGTAACCCCGAACCCTAAGAGGTCCTTAGGACTAGCCCTTGCCCAACTGACTCAGAACTCTTCCAAACTTCACCCATCCGACCCCGTAATTTCTGCCATTCTTACAGAAGACCGTAGCAATTCCAAGTATTTTGTTTATGAGGCTTATGTACAGTATGCCACTGAGTTATTCTGGCCTTACCCGGATACAAACTGCCCTCATCCGTACCCAGATCCTTTACCTCACCCGACTTATCTCTATTCCTGGGATTCTGCTCTAAAACCTCGGTTTATTTTTTCCAGCCAAAGATTCGACAAGAAAAAACCAACAATATTTTTATACTTTTAACTACCAGCCCCAATTTTTGTCACAATAGTTCGGCTGCTGTCAAGGTCTCCCGGGTCCACTCGCCCGACCACATCTAATAACACAGAGTCCCGACGGCGAGTGATCTCTGCCCTAATTTCGCTTTATCTCTCCCAACTTTCTTTTTACCTTACTTCAAACTCCTATATCCCTTTCGGCCAGAACCCCCATTCGGTTGAGGCCTTCCCGTCTTGATGGTCGGCTACTTGGGCTGTGGTGGCTCCTCATTCCGACCAGTTGTTGGGAAAACTCATTTCTCCTCCAACCCTTGCTTTGGGCTCTCCTCACCATGCAACTATCCCTAGGAAAAGACGGGCGGTTCCCGCTGAAGGCCCCAGTGCGCTGAAAAGAAAGAAAAGAGCTGCCCGAACTAAAGCCGCCACTAAGCCAGCGTTCGATCGACAGACGGTGGAGGACTACTTGGTGTCCTTGTCTATGGATCCCGCTTGGTTGCCCATAAATGTGTGCCGATATCTGGGTAGACTAATTCAATCTTTACTTTCTCTATCCCGTATGCTTCTAAAACCCTTGTCTCCAGAGTCACTTCGCCCAACTGCCGAGCAACCGACCGTCCTGCCTGCCGACCAACCAACAACCGAACCACCTGTTGAAGAGGTAATCTCCAATATTCCTCACCTTCCATAAACTTCTATTGCTAACTTTGACTTCTTCCTTGAGCAGACCTCTCCTCCCTCGCCAGTTGCTGCTGTCCTTCCACAGCAGACCAATATGCCAAAGGAGTCGCCCGTGATTCGTCGGAAGGAGGACGACGATGAGGCAGGTTTCGTCTCCATCCTCAACAACTTCCACCATCTATACGTGCTTCTGGTGAGTCCGAATTGACTACAAGATTATATTATTTCCCTTCGTAACTTAACATAAACTTTTTATTTCAGGAACCTGCGGCGGTTGATTTTATGGCCGAACCGGCCAGTACCGAGCACCATCCGCCGTGGCTCCCAAATCAGTTCAACCGAATCCCACACCAGTCCAACCGAATCCCGAACCAGTCCAACCGAACCCTGAGCCAGTCCAACTCTCCTCTTCTGAGTCGGGTGATGCCTCCGTAAATCAGAACCTCGAGGCTGTGGTTAGCACTTCTTTCCTCTGTGGTTCCTTATTTTAAATTTCAACCTTTCTTAACTCAACTCTTATTCTTCCAGGGCTCGGAGCTAGATTTTGTCGGTCCCCTGTCCGCGGCCGATGAGTCGGTTTCCAGGCCGAGGACCTGTCCGGGTCCTCCACAGGTAGCCCCAGTTCTTTTGGCTTCTTCTGAGGCCACAACCATCCTCAACCAGGTAATTTTCGCATCGCCCAACTAGTTACCCTTGAGTTATGTTCCTCTAATCACTTTAACTTGTATAACCAGACTATCCGCGAGATCAACTTTTTAACAAGAGTACCATTGCTGGCACCTGCCCGACCGGTAGTGTTGCGTTGCATTGACTTGTCATTTGCCGACCTGAGCCCTGGAGACCTCGACTCTCTGGCTCAAGTGGCAATTGACCTGCTGGTGCAGACTCCTGCTGGGTCTGCGGCGGCCCCAATACTCAGTCAGATGATAGAGAGGATCACTGAACTTCAAGCTGATCTACCCTTGATTCGACCTCCATCGTCCGACGCCACTCCGTCACAACCACCACCCGACACAACTGCCATTAAGGCCTTTTTGTCAAAATCGACAGAAGACCTCAATCAAGCCTCCACTTGGTTGAATGAGCTCCAGCATGCACGACACACTTTGGCTGCCGAGATTTCTTAGAAAATTAAGGAACTCGAAAGCCTCCAAAAAGAGCTGGAGACTCTGAACAGATGCATTCAGGAAGGACGTCGTCTGGTGACCGAACATCGCCAGACTAAAAAAAACCTCCATGGCCAATTACAAGCAAGTATTCGGTCGAGGCTTGTACATGAGCACCAGACGGCCTTCTAACAGAGGAGGACGGCCCGGTCTGAAAAAAAGTGGTCGGACCTTCGAACCGCCCTCCGGGCCCTTCTTTTGTAGTACTTTGAACAGTTCAAACTTTGTATATATACGTAATTCCTAACCTCAATTTCATCCTATTTTCAATCACCGATCCTTAAATTTGCACCACATAATTAAAACAGGAATTACTTATTTAAATCAAACCTCAAAGAAGCAAGTCACAACAATCCTTTGATCTTTTGAACACATGGTCTCTCCCCGCATCCGTATTCTCTCCAACAATTGGAAAAACTCTCTGGAGCCATTTTTCGTGGGCAAACATCCCATAGGTCATCATGCTGAGGATCTGA